ACCAACAAAGGTCCCACCAAAATTTCTTTTATAATTGTAATGCAGAGGATAGATACCTGCAGGAACATCGTATTACATTTCAGAAGAATATACATCACAAGTCAAATAATAATTTTAGCTTTATTTTGTGTACATTTGTACATTTAAATCAAGTTTAAAGTGTAAAATTTGTTATGAGAATATTTTGTACAGAGGTCAATGCATAGATTTATGACTTATAAGTACATGCAACAAGCTACAAAGTTTCTGAAAATATTTTAACAAGAATTTCAAATAAACGAGCATGAGAAATTGTGTTTCATTTGTAAAATCTGTACATAAGCCATTACAAATATTTCCTGCTACCAGGAAAAAAAAAATATAAAACTACTTAAATGCTCTTGAAATCTTACAATTAGACAGATGTTCCACTGTGCATCCACACTAAAGCAATGAAGTGGAAACTGTGGAGAAGTGTTTAGTTTAAGTAACTGCCCAACTGTTATTGCTACTTTTTGAAGAATTTGAAAGTATACAATGAAAATATGGAATTAAAACAGCTGAATAGCCATATTTAGATCATTACTCCAACTAAAATGCAAAAGTTAACTACAAAACTTTGTCAGAGGTTTATTACATACATAAAAATAATTGTACACAAATAGGGAAATAAAAAAGTTGCTTACAAAATTAAAAAGTAATAATAGTATACAGTATTCACAGCTTAAGTGTCATCCACTAGAGTTCTACTTTTAAAAAAAATTAGAGCTGAACTATTACATGAACATGCAGTACATCCACAATTCAAAATGAAAACCTTTTTCACAGACTGTAATACAGTCCTACACAAGCATAAGTCAACTAGATGTTAAACTACTCCTCTCCATCACTGTCCTTGCTACCTTTCAGCTTCATAACAAAGCCTAGGCCAGATTCTCAGCTTGGGTAACTTCATGAAGTGAGAGTATGAGCATTCATTCCTAAAATATATAATAAACTCGCAGAACGCGTTCTATCCACCAAATAAGATCTTCATGGAGAGATATTATGCCCAATGAAAAGCAACAGAGGTGAGGAGGAACTACAATTCTGTCAGTGGACTAAACTGATATTGATTTTGCCTTTTTCATTTTTACAGATTTTCAAGTTTCCTTCTCCTTCTCTCTATTTGCTGAGCTAAATCAGAATGGTCAAAGTACAGGCTGTACTTCTTATAATACACCTGCCAGTTCTTAATATAGGTGTCAAATACTGTAGCCTTTTACTAATCGTAAAAATATGTATTTACTTCTAGTAAATTATGTAAATATTTCCTGAATAATTGTGTGTTATTCTATATATTACCATATTACCACAATCAGAAGTTTAACTACATAAATATCTTGTTAGCTTTTAAAAACAATAAAAATACTAAGGACCCTTGAAACTTCACTATCTCTACAAGAGTTAAACAAATTCTGTGAAATGATAATTTGAAACAATTAAAAAACTCAGTCAATTAAAATAAACTCTTACATTTTAGCTCTGAGGATCAATATACCTGTGGAAATAGGTTACATAATGGCAATTAATACCTGAATTAATTTTTAAAAAGTTATTCTCAAATCAGAAGGGATGTCACTTAAATCAATTTTTTTTTTCATTTTACTGAAAATAGCTCTTCATTATTTTGTCTTAGAGTTTCTTCAATCCACAAAAGAAGTACAAAAAAACTTACTATGCATTCCCTTCAACCACTGACAGAGAACCTTACTAATTTTCATGCAGTAGCTTCTTAAAGCATTCAATAACTGCAAGATAAACAATTAGCACTGGAAAAAAAGCTTGTGTTCCTGAAAGAAAATATTCCTTCAGATCACTGGATCATAATTATTTTTACATCTGTTAGACTGGGAGAATACCACGAGAAGTATCATATCTTTGCAGATTTTGAGATATCTCTGATTATGTTTAAGCTTAATGCAAACTGATTCCAAATAGAACGCTCGGCACCAGCGTGGCAAACAACATAGAGTCAGGCGACAATCCTCCTAGCTTTTGTGGTACAAAAGCGTAAATATTCAGGTTAAAGTCCACTTTCTATTCCAACTTCTCTCCTCACCAAAGGATGCACAAGTAAGTACACAGAAACTAATGCCCCTTGCTGAAGATTTCGTTGCTATGAGAGTACAGACTACTTTTCGCATTGACCTTACATTAAGAATGAAAGGCCTAACCAATTTTGACTTTTAACCCAATACAGTTTTTCATGTGTGCTAAATTCACCTGTATGCAAAGAACATATTCCTTCTGAAGCTGAGAAACTGAATAGTCTTTTTATCTTGGGCCAGTCCCAATACAGAGGTTTAAAAATAATAACAATCATCATTCAAAAGGTATTCTGCCAATATGCTGATGCACGTGCATGTTAAACTGTAGTTACACTTCATACAAAGTCATTGTGTTCTGGCATTTTTTTTTAAATTTATATTCTAGTAGCAAAATCCGCAATTTTCAATTTAAATTTACGCCACAGAAGCAGCTTGCACTCCCTGGTCTTTTAGCTATAAATATTTAATTTAGCAACGAGAACTTCTAAGTCAGAAGGATAAAAAGCCGTAACGTGACTCAGCTGATTCTGGTGCAGGTATCAGAATTATACACATCAGCCTTACAACAAACAGCTAAATCATCACCTGTGGTAAAGAAAATTGATTTTGATGTAATTATAGCTGGATTGTCTGATTTGTTTAAACTGGAATGAAAAACATCTGCTTCATAAGTCAATTGGACTTCAAGTGTTTCTTCCAGATAATATAATCATTTATGAGAAATGAGATTTGAGAATGAGCCAGGATTAACTTTATCTATTAAAGTGTCTCATTGCTAATTTTAACTTTGATTGGTACAATTTGTACAAAGACAAGACTGTGTACATAGTAGTTGACAGGCTGATGTAAAAAAAAAAATCATACTGGCTTCATGGATGAATTGAAAATAAGTCTCATGTTGGTTAATATCAGGCCCTGACACTTCATGAAAGTGGCAGAATATGTTACTTTTTTCAATTGCTAATACAGGGGATGGCATTAAATATAGAAGGAATGAAAAGAGAAAGTAAGAGTATTTTGTTTACTTTGTCTATTTAACACCATATATAGCAGTTCCTATTGCTGTAAAGATGTTAACAGAAAGGGACTTTTTAAAATAACTTACTAAAAAATTTATTTGGAAGTCAAAAGCAAAACAGTTTAAATTCAGTAAAGCCTCAGTTGTTCAAAATTGCTTTCCTTCACTCACTCTCAGCAGCAGTTTTATGGAATATCCTTTTGACTCCGTTGCAACTTCTTATCAAATAGTATTATATATGTCAACATTCACAAAAACCACAATTCAAATAGATATAGACCGATCATAACCAAAAATAAATATCAGTGTGCAATGCAGAAGGAGGAACACTATTTCCTTTAGAGTTATAAAAACACAGTGCACATCAAAAATAGAAAGCTACATTACACAATCACGACTATCATCTTTGGTCCACGTTGAATGCTTAAAACTGGTTAAATTGTTGGTTTCTTTAAGAAATTGCAAAGAACAAATCTCATATTACATTATTAATTATGGTGAATGGATTAGTTCCATAACTGTAGAATTATCCACACAATATCAGATGATAATTTGGAAGATTGTCTGTATACAATACAGCTTTAATAAGTGCGTGGAACACTTAAATCTTTAACTGCAACAATTTCTAATGAAGCAGCAGAAGCTTCTTCTCATTAATGGAATATTCAGTATTTCCCCCTCCTCCAAAGATTAAATTGTACCAATAGGTTGTTGATAAGTTCTATTGATTTGTTCTCTATGCTATTGAAAATAACAGTGACCAACGCAGAATGTTCCTACCAGTAAATGCAGAACCATGCAGAGCTTATAAAATAGCTCTGAAAGACCCTGCACAACACTGTATTGTCCAAAGCAGTGTTCCATTACTGCCATTCACAAAGAAGATATTTTTATAACCTATTAGAAAGAAAAAAGGTTATCTTAAGTAATTTCATTTTTCTTGGGCAAGTTCTCTGAATTGCTAGTATATATTAGGTCTAGAATACACCTCTCAAACATCATATATATACACAAATATAAATAAAAGGGCACCCACAACTATATGCATTCACTCCACTTTGACTACAGACAGCACCTTATGTCTAACAAAGCTGTTCATAAGGATGTGGAATGAAACTTCAAGGTTTCAAGATATAAGGCCACTTACTTGCACCTCCTTTCACTACTTGAGTTATTATGCATACTTTGAAGACAAACCGTTCATCCTCATATGTCCTTCACAAGAAATAGTTAGAAACAATGTTCCATCCAAAAATGTAACTTCCTCTCAGTTCAGCCACTTATACATTGTATTATCCGCCCATTCACGGTTGCTAAGCAATTATACCATATAAAGCAGAGACAAGTAAGCACCCAACATAATGTTTTAAAAAGTGATTAACATCTGCAAAGACGTCCTCCTTGTCAAAGGAGGTAAGTTAAAGTGGTAAAAGTTTCATTGACGCTGCAATTAAAATAAAGAATGAAGTTAATCAATGAAATTTTGGCATATAAATTTCCTACATTAGAAATAGTTCGTTATAGCTTTATTAACTTAGTGAAAGATAGCAAGATACTGAACAGTGGTAGTGTAATAATAACCTTGTACAATAAATGAGAATTCAGACGCTCAAGGAAATTTGGAAACTAGGAAGAAGTTTAAGTGTGAGATAAAGTCATGAGATAAATCTAAATTACTGAATACAATGCTTCATGAAGAGTCCTTTTTTTTTTTAAAATTTATTTAGACAAGCATTGCCACGTTGCAAATAGAAATGCTTTAATGTCTCTTGAGTAACACATTATACCAGGTAACCAAACTCATCAGCAGTAGCAAAAATAAAACATGGATGAAGAGGCAGTAATTTTTTTTTTTTTTTAAATTTTCTCTCCTAAAATATATATGTAACAAGGCACATTAGGAGAATTTTCTTCAATTATTTTATTACACTTGACTTAAATACCTGAAAGTATTTTTCTCATAAATTAAGATAGAGAGAAATTTAAATCGCCTTTTACAGATGTAATAATTTCATTGTCTGCTAAAGTGCAAAACTGCTGTCAAAAAGTTTCAGCAGAAAAAACTGAATTATGAAAAATAAATTTTTGAAGACACACAAAAAATAGAATATATATATCTAGTCACATTTTAAAAGTAATACAAAGACAAAATATTTAACACTGAAAAGATTTATAAACTTCCGTTTACCTTGTTCTCTGCAAAGCCTGTAACTTTGTACATTTTCCAAACAAAAGCCTTAAATACTTCAGAAGAACAAAATTAATACTAGCATCCTTAACTCTTAAGGTTTACGTGGAAAAAAGTAATGGCAGACTGGTTAATTCATTATAATACTCTGAAGCACTAAGCAATATGATTGAATTGTATGTTGTATTTTAACCATATCCTTTTAGCTGTGCAGCAGATGCCAGTGACTTCAGCAGGCCTAAAAATCTTTTTGACATGGTTAACAGCAACACCTTTGGGCTATTTACTCTTACTGCCAGCACATTATAGCCAACTGCTGCTGCTGCATTCAGTTTCCTTATTCCTCACACAGAACTTTTCGCCCTTTTAAATTTTGCATTTCATAAGTTAGACGTGAAATATTTTGGAGTGAATAGAATTTGTTTACATTTAAGACAGTTCACATGCACAACACTACTGCTCCTTTTAAACTAGGAAAACACAAACTCTACTGAAAGTTAAGTATTTGAAAATTCCACATATATAACCATTCCACAGATACCAAGCGTTCAGAAACGAGTAAATAAATACATTATAGTGCCCTACTTCCGAACTTTTGAAAGAAGGCAACTCTATTTTATTAAACCAACTTACCATCTTTGTCCAATAGAATACCAATATATCTTATTTTTATCCCTTTCCATTCTCCTCATAGGTGTACGCTCTTAAAGACTATGTTATATTTGCCTGTCCTTCAAAGAATATATGTAGGGATTAAGGAGTCCTATCAGTACTGAAATAAATATAGGAAGCTTATTTGCAACAAGCAGCCTTTCTGAGGCTTTTGGAGGGCTGGTGACCACCTGTATTTAAGACAAAATATTTACAACAAAAGTATCAATTGAAGGGTTTTTTTGTGCATATACAACAGATTGTACTTTGTATCCCTTATATAGTCTCCTTAAACTAGTGATGTCTGAATATCTCTGAATATCTCAGATTTAATATGCAGACATAAAACCATGAAGAAATACTGTGCTGAGCTTCAGGGAACTGCCACAAGTCAAACATTCTACAGATAGTACTAATTACATTAGTGTTGCTAAAGCTGTAGTTCTTAAATACCATCAGTGCTCATCTACCTTTCAAAACAGAGCAAGTAGTTGTTTTTAATGCTGAGTAAGGATATTGAGCATTCAGAGATTCTGCTAATAAAGAAAAGTGAGTTGACTGGTTTACCTGAATCCATGTAGAGTTTATGTTCACAGCATTTTTCTGTAATTACAGTTTCAAAAGCTCACCCAAACAACAGTTAAGAATTAAATTCCAAGTTTGGCATACTCTTCAGGAGTATCTCTTTTTTTATTAAAACATTGCTAACGACAATGATCCCATCACCAAGCGTTAACCTGACTGGCAGCTATTCAAGGTGCTTTATCTCAACCTCACATATTTGAATTGCACCTTGCCTATGACTGAGGCACATAAGGTGCAGTGCAGAAGTACAACAGTTCAGACACTAGAGGACAGTCTGCTCATTTGACCAAACCTCTGGATTTGTAGTGCACATTCCACATCCTTCCTTCCTTGTGCACTAATTTAAATTCACAAGCTGATGAATCCACTTACAGGAAATGTCTCTTCAGATTAAAGATTTCTTTAAATGAGGTGAAAGTTTTCACAGAGGTCTCAAAGTGTTGCAAGAATTCTTGAAAATGAGATAATTAATGTCAGTACTGTTTGTCCAACACCAAAAACAAGAGCTTCTAAGGGAGCCATATTCTTTCCTGCCACTCTGTAGATTCCAGCTACTGCAGCACCTGGGAGAGGAGGGGAAAGCAGAGATGAAATCATTAAAACAAAACATTGCGCTATAAGCAAAGTCAACTGCTACTAACTCCCTTCTACTGCCTTTCACATTCTGAATATATCATGTCTATCTGAAGAACAAAAGTAAGACAGCAAATGGATAGCTGTGATGTCTCATAGCAAAAGACTGAGACAAAGACAAGTACTTTACATCAATCAGTCAAAAAAAGGCATGCTAATGATGAGCAACATTTTCCATTCAGATGACTTCTGAGCTTTTTAAAAGATACTGCACTGTTCATTGAAGAAATACAGGCTTGTTCACTACAGCTCTGTTTCTGTGGGAAAAAGACTTATTCAATCCACCTCTTAAAATTCTCCTAAAATTAAGCTGTTTTTCCAGTTTAATATTTTCTGAATTAGTATTTTATGTACAGCGCTTACTTGTCTTAAGAAAACACTAGACTATGTCTTCTATTTCAGAATTAAGGAAATTTTCCTAAAGATCGGAAAACAAAAATCAACTATAGACTCTCAGCATGTAACATCTCAGATGCCTTTTAACTATAGTTAAACATTTTCAAAGTTCACAGAGGCTTTTTCAGACTCAAAAGAAAACGGAAAATCAAGCACAATTTTTTAAATCAGTAGCAAGAGTTAAAAAATTGGAAATTCCTTATTTTTGCACAGTCCCTAATTGGAATAGTCTGCTAAAATGATTATAAAGTCCATTAGTGATATAGAAATGTTAATTTTCTGCAAATACAATCCATATCTGAACACAATCAGACATACTGAAAACAAAAACAAATAGAATACATTTTTTAAAAACATTTTTAGGAGGAGTTGAATTCACTAATTATTTTGGACATAACAGCATTCATATAACTATTAATAAGACTATTATGTTAATAATTTTTTTAATATATAGTATAAAGGATATTTTGTCCAAAATCTCTCATTAGAAAGCTAGCCTTATGTTACTTCACCCAGCTACCTTGCATAAGCTTTTCCATTTGTTCCTTGGCTATCAACTATCAAAACCAGAGATTCTTTAGGTAGAGCCCAACACTGGCCTTAACATCATTTTGGTGAACACATATTGTCCAGATATAAATCAATAATGTTGAATTCTGGTCTCCCCGTAACTAACAGAAATTTTTGACTTCTTAAGAAAACAGAGATGTTCTGGAAAGTATTGATAATAAAAATCTCCAAATTTGATAGTTTGCTGGTTATTTTTATTTATACTTCTCAAATAACAGTGCACAATACAACCTGTAATACATAACCCAGTAAAATTGGTATAAAGCCAAAATGTAGTAAAATATGCTGCCAAAGAGGAGAATGAGAAGGTATAACCAAAAAAGGCAGGGGGAAAGCACACATGGAGCAGGGAGGAGCAGAATAGACTCTTTGGGATTAAAGCATAGCTAAAATCTTGGCCTCAAGAATAGCTTGGCATTTATCTGTTCTTGTTTGTTTCTGGACAGTAGCAACTCCTATTTATAAAGAATCTGTAAAATACTGACTAACCAATATGCTCCATGATTTTTTGAAGTCTAAAAACAGAGGATTTTCTTGGTTTTCTACATGCTAATAAAAAGATCCCAGTAGTCTAGAAAATCTGAATGATCTATCATCTGTAAAATTAAACTTGCATTGTTTAATAAGCTATATGGCATTCATTCAGCAACACATAAATGATGCAGAGGACTGGACATAAAAATGGAATAAAACCACTTTGCTATTTCAATTTCTTAAGCACTGGACTGAGCACATCAAAAAGATTAAATACTTCAACTTGCATCACTGTTTGAAACACTATAGCTATCAAAAAAGTCTTCCCATTAGTATTTCATCACTGTAATTTGTCTTCAGAAGCTCCTCATGGAATTTCTTTCAGTTTAAAACAACCTAGTGCTGTCCAGAAACAAAAACAGTGAAAGTAGAAAATATTCAGCTACCCAAATTGTGATGCTTGTGCAAAACCTTTGAAAACAGCATATGTGTCTGTGGTCTAAACTTGGAGAAAATTCTCAGATGAAATGCATTATTTACACAGAAATAGCACCACTTACCTGTTAAATGTTTTGACCTGTAAAACTGGATGCCAAAAAACACAACTGTGTTTCTCCTCTTTTTATGCATAGATAAAAGAAACAAAGTACTTTCATTTGAAAAACGGTGAGCCTTCCTCACCACAAAATACCGTAAGAGTCTCTGTTTGGATATCGAAGCATCATGTTTCTTGTCTTCTACTTAGACTATTCAGAAATTGTCATGTCTTTTTGATCTCCTAACAGGGCCTCTAGCACATAAATCGTAAGACAGCTCTGTATTAATGTAACATGCAATGTAAGGCACTTGACTCCACACACACCACATCTTAGCCAAACAGAAGTAGAGTTTTACAGAACTATATAATCGTGAAATTATGGAAATTGGTGGGGGGAGGTGGGAAGGAAGGAACAGCAGCAATGAGAATACCCTTTTCAGGAAAGCCTTAAGCTAGCATTTACTGTATTTATTACAAGGAAAATTTTATAAAATTTTTATTTTTATTTACCTTGAAAACCAACTGACAAGGAAGATTTTCAGTAGCAAGAAGAAATAATCTGTCATAAGTCATCTACAACGTGTCTACAGACAACATAACACTATTCTGATATTCTGGAAAGTTCAAAGAAAGATGGGAACAAAAGACAATAAAGTTTTTAACTCCAGGCAAGCCTTATCATGGTCCTTAGCTTTACAGTTCCTCACTCTCAACAAAAGCTTTACCGTCCTTTAAGTTAGATTATTTTGTCAACAACATTGAATACCTTTGGGTGGAAACTACAGTTCAAGTTATTATAGGTCCTATTCGATCCATTGATTTTAAGCATTGAGCACTTCTTAATAGCACTGTTTTGGGCAACAAAGTGCAAGCTTCTTTCCTATGAAAGCAATCTTCACTACTTATTTTCAACAAAAAAGCTCACGGTGCTCCTGGCTGCTTGGAAAAGCTGCTGTAGTCCCTCTATAAATTAGATCAAAGTAACTATGACTAAAGTGATATGATAAAGTCACTGAAAAAAGTCACTTACTGATCTTAAGCTGACATATATTCCAGTATAACACAAATAAAATTTCTTTGAAAACGTGCAAAACCAGCATCTAATACCAATATCTGTAGATGGAAACAACTGAGCAGCATTTCCTTCAAAATGCACTTGGCAACATCATTTGCAGGCTACATTTGGTCAGGTGTAATGTTTCTACATTTAGTTATGTACTATCAAAATATTTCTACTTTCTACAGTGTTTTAATGATGATTATGAATTTTAACTACAGCTCTATGGACTTTACAGTAACTCATCTTTCAGGATGCTGCTTTAACAGAAAAATGCATTAGCAACCTATCTGTGGATACAATGTCCAGAAATAAAATCTATCTCAAGTGATATGCAATAAACTAACACCATAAGAAACACTAAACCACAACTGCCAGAGAACATTGTACCTAAAACAACAGCACAGCCTAAATTTTTCAGAAAGAGTCTAATGGCATTCCTTTCCCTTTCTTCCTTACCCCAAAAAAACTAGAAGGCACCATTATGATCACATAAGAGAGGAAAATTCTTTCAAATCCACGAGCTAAGCATACCTATTTGTTCTGATCTCTTGCTGACTGGCATGTGTAGTTCAGATTGTTACATATTCATTTGTTAAAAATAATTTTAAAACCTGCTAAATTTCTTCGCTGTAAATTACTATGTAGTTTGCATCTTCACTTCTTTTAAAAGAGCAACATCCTATCCAGATGTAGCTTGGGGTACTAAGAGGTGGTTTTGATTGAAACCCTTCGGCAAAAAATCTGTAGCAAGTACAGTAGTGCAGGACTGATCCCAAAAAGCTATTAATTGCTGAGTACACACCTTTTGAATAGCTAAAAGTTTCCAAAGAGAAAGAGCAGGAGGATTTCTCTGCTCCTCTGACAGTTCTGTAGTAGTTTTATCTTTACACAATAGGAAGAGCTACTCAGCTGGCATTTTCAGAAGGACTGCTACAGGACTGCTACGTGACTAAGGCAATTTTTAAATAAACAATTACCAAATAACTACAAAAAGTTTTTTTAATAGATACAAAATAAGTGAAAAAAGACAGACTTACTGGTTATCATTGCTCCAGTTACAGAACACAGAAATCCAATGCTGACCATAATGACAGAAATCAGCCTCCCCTGCCTATGCCTCTGCAGCATCACAAACATTAATACTCCCACAGCACCATGGACAAAGAGAGAGGAGAAGAGAGCCCAGAGGAAAACCCAGTACCACATCTCTGAAAGAAAGCAGTTAAATAAAGGGTTAATATTTCTGAAGAGATAATCATAAAGCAAGAGATTTAGAAATATTACATACAATCAACAGTAAAAGAAAAGCAATACTGATTTCAGTCTTAAAAGGAATCAATGTGAAAACACCAGAACATGCTCAAGACACTTTCCCATTTTAGAGGTCTATCATAAAAATAATAGTTCTGTTATAATTAAAAATATTTCTGGCACAATTTTTGTAAGAATACTTCTGAATTAAGAAGAATAGTTTCTTTAAATAGTGATATATTATATATTATCTTAGAAAATGTAATTAACTGCTGCAGAATGAAATATCAGCTGAAACAGATATTTAACAAGGAAAAAATAAAGAATTTTCTTTTACAAGAAGAGATGGCAATAGGTAACATCAAATGGGAATGCATGGAGTACAAATACATGTTTCTCTGAAGCATGCCACACACATGATTATTACTTTGAAAGAAAAGAGTAGGAAGCATCAACCAATCTACGTGAGAACTTAAGAATCTTTCTCACACTGTTCTGAGAATATTTTGTATAACTCAAAAGGGTGAGAAAATGCCACAAAAGCAAAACTGAGACTAAATCTATCCACTTTTTTCTTTTTTTAAATCAAGTACAGTGATAATTGTTAAGTATTATCACAGGATACAGGAGATTGGGCTGCGTTTTCTTGATTAGCATAATCCATGAAACTTTTATAAATTCAGAGTTTTTGCAGCAGTTTCCTCTCAAAAAAAAAACTGCTTCCTTAAAATAGTAGTATGCTTTATCAGGTGAGTCTCTGTTATTGTAGATTGACACGTATCACTCATTTGAGCAGAAACATGACCCAGTTAACTAACAATAATAGTTACACATAGCAGATCAACAAAAATACTGTGAGAAGGTGCTAACTTCTCACAGAAAGAACTGCAGTCCTTTGAGCCCAACGTTCGTATGATCCAACATTCATATGATATGTATACTCACAGATTTTAAAAAAGTTTAAGCTTTCGGTTTAGCAGCACTTTGGGAGTAGACTTATCCTTCCCCCTTCACACAGGCATAAAAGGGGAACTGTGTCATAGGATTTAAAATTTATCTAAGTAACAAAACAAAGACTCTCTGAGGAGAGGGGTAAGGAAGGTGGATGGTGAATATAGACACAGGTAATACTAACAGCTATAGCTGAAGACTAACATCTCTGAGTGCTTGGGTATGTGGATGTGCATATTGAGGGTGGCTCCCTCCCTCCCCCCTTGGCCCCAAGTTGGGTCTCAAAATCTTTGCAAGAGGGTAAGGACTACAGGACAACTCTATTGAATGCCTCATCACTCTTGGAAGCTACTGTGATAGTACTGTTATACTGACAAGAGCGCCAAGTAGTCACCTTATACATACCTCATACAAAACCTTTCTACAGAAAGGCCGATTGTTGAGCTTGCCTGCCATATTCATGAATAGTTTCAGAGGGAAATCACTCTTGCAGTCTCCTAACAGGCCTTTCATGTTATTAGCACAGATATGGTGCCCCCATTGTTTTTTTCCAATGGAAACAAATGAGCAAGGACATCAAGCACAAGATCGGTCTATGTAGAACCTGGTAGCCCTTCTAGCACCTAAAGCACGTAAAGACAATTTGGCCGCAGGTAAATAAGCCTTAGGGGATGGAAAAAGGTTTATTTCCTGGTAAAGGTAAAATAGACTTCGGAAATGGAGGCCTTTGGTTGGGAAGATCACGTCAGAAAGGAATGCCATGGATGATCTAGCTACAAGGGGGTGGATTTCTTATTCTTCTAGCAAACATTTAAAGAGCTACCACGTAGTACCCTTTAATTGAAAGATGTCACAAAAAGCAAATTCCCAACAGACCAAAACACTGTTCTACTAGAATCACAAGAACTAAGTTCATGTCCCGCAGTGGATCAATGCTTTGAGCACTGGGTAGACTTACTAGACACATTATAAATTTTACGGTTATGGATTCAGCAAATTGTAGTTCAGACACAAACTGGATGGGTTCTCAAGTCTAAACTGCTTTAGGCACACTGGTGATAAGAAAGATCACAAGGACTATATCTCACTTCACCATGTGGGCAACCTAGAAGAACAAAAGTTAGACACTCTAACATGGAAATCAATAATGTTTCTAATATGCACCTGTCTCCTATCCACTCTGCACCACCTCATGTATCCAAGTTTGTCAAATGAAAGTAGGGAAAAACTTTTCAGCTACAAAGTTACTTGACAGAACTATGAGCAGAGACACTAGCAGGGCCTTTTTGTTCCCCTTCCCTCACATACATTCTTGTTAAAGATTTTGATCTGCTGCAACAAGAATTAGTTTTCAGAAGCAATGAGAGAGAAAAGTTTCCCTGAATAGGAAATAAAGTATAACTTTGTCGCTTTGTCCTGTTGGAACTATTCTGGTATCTCCCTCAGTGCAAAAATACTTTTTAATTTCCTAGATATTGTTTATTGAGCTTTTCTTTTTTGAGTAGTTGGTATCAGAAAGGAAGGGACTGAGAGAAGATTCAACCAGAAGAGTGGGATCTTCACTAAGTAAAATTACTTAGCACTAGTGGAATGAAAGCCTTGGTTTTTTTTTAATATTTGGATTGTTTACATACAGCAGTTCTATAAAAAAAAACATTTTATAGAAGCCACAATTAATGGCTGAATCCCGGGCATACAGTTTTTAAAATGCAACTGCATGGCATTTCAAATTAATGTGATTTTGAAAGAAATTTTTAGAAAATAAAATCTTATAGAGCAATAATTTATATTATGATGCAAAATAAAAGGAATAATTGCACTACTCAAGTATTCTGGGATTACATCTTACCTAATCTTGATACGATCATAGCATTTTAAAATCTGATAATTACAGAAATTGGAAATTCAGTCACAAAGGCTTCTAATCATTGGATTAAATCATACCTTTCTATTGTGAAGTTAGCTTTTTCTAGCAAGGGGCTCAATAAATAAAACACAGTAATATGCTTTCTATAAAACCTAAACAATACTACAAAATAGGAGCCAGTAATGATCCTAAATTATGAACTTTCCATCACAGTCATCTCTGTCATATTAAATTAGCTATTTAAAAAAAAAATAATATATTTGTAATTCATAGAATCACATCAACTGCTTATTTCAGTAAATGTTTTTACTAAATATGTAGTCTGTAGCTGAAGAGTAAGAGATTACATATTTTAACTCATCTGAATTCAGAAATTTTCTTTAGATTTTTTGAATGGTTATCATCCACTTTGTTAAAAATACTGCCTCAACCCAAGCAACTGAAATTGGACAAATCTCTCTCCAGCATCTTCCACAGAAAAGACTGGAAGAGTTGCACTTTCTTATCCTCCACTATTTATCCTTTTTATGCTTGGTAGTTCCACACACTCACTTATTTACTTCTGCTCATGAGTAAGACCAGAGGCGAACGTGACTGAGTAAACTGTCAATCTGGATGGAAACGGCAAGGGGGACTGCCAACCTTTTAAACAAACTGGAAGAGGCTTCCAGCTCCATAAACCTAGAGGGCAGCTTAGTCAATCTTATTCTGACAGATTCAGGGCAGAGAATTTGATGCACAGGTATTTCTGAGTGAAAGAGTCTGAAGCTCTATAAAATTCAGCATCATCTACCTCCAGAAGTATGAAGAAAGATGGCCTAAAGAAGAAGTGTGCTGGAATAACACTGAAGGAAGTAAAGCACATATTGGGGATAATAATACTGAGAGATGCCAACAGAGAACAGAGGAGCAGAATGTGGGCCTCAAGACAGCAAGGGTCAAGGCTTTGCTTGTTCAAAAACAGCTAAAGATTTCTAATACTAGTCCCACTTCTTCAAGATTATAGAAGTGATGTAAGAAAATACTGGTGCAACAATTATTGTATGTTCTAAGAGGTATAAAATTTAGCTAAATGATCATCACTGCTACCTCTGATAAACAAAGCAACCTGTCAAAAAAACTCAGTATTTGTGTAGCTATACTAATTACCTTGCTCTTCTCATGATATGAGCTGCACATAAGGAGTATTTTGCTGGTACGATAATAATGATTTAGCTGTACTTGGCAAAGAGTTCCAAATACAAACCTAGCCTCAGCTTATTTAGTCAGATCCTTACAGAGCTGCCCTAAAGAAATAGGAATAAAATAGAACTTTTAAAGAAACTTCCTGCTTCTTTAGTCTACCCTTAAGAAAGGGTGAGAGTTTAGTTTTAACATATTCAGATTACTTTAAGTAACCAAAACACAACTCATTCATCCCATAATTCAGCAGTTTCCAAAGGAATACACTTCCTAGGAACCAGAGAAGATCTTGTAAGCTAAAAAGTACCTGGAACAGTGGCATACAATCTATTGCATAGAAGCCACAGCTGTTCTAATAAAAACATCTGAGATCTATTTTTTAAGTCTGTTTAAAATCCTAAGCACTTAACTACCACTTTAAATTTTGTCTTCAGATTATGTTCCTTTCCACCAACTTTACTTGGCGGGGGATTTTATTTCTTCTAAAATAGTTGCTTGGCTCAAATGCTTTGCAATTCATGCTTTGTCATTTCAGATTTCGAGTACTCCTTTGTTAATTTAATTATTTATGCATATTATAAGGCTCTGAAGGCATACACAGTCTCAGTGTTGAAATTTAGTGGTTTTTTTTTTTTTTTAAAAGATTACCCATCAATTCTTAAAGGATGCTGAAGTTTAAAATAATATTCATATTACCTGCGGTTCAACTTTTATAATTTGAAGTTGCACCACATTAATAGCTTTATCTCGGGTAAATAAATGCAGAATCTACACAGTAACTGTGTAAATACTAGTATTTATAACAGTTATGTTTATAAATACATATATCTGAACATCCTGTCCTATTGCCACTCAGTTACAGTAGCAACACAGTACTTGCCAAGTCCTTCACTTGCACCATTTTCTTCCTCTAGCTCTCAGCAAGTTTTGTCAAATAAATGATTGCCTATAACATTTCATAATCCAAAACTAACTGATTACTCCTGAATCAA